CAATTTGTTCGAGAGAAATCGTTAACCAAAATTTTCGTTACGACGCACGCAAATAGCACATGTATTTAGAACTGTATACACAATTTAGGGAGTCTCAAGATGAGATTCATGGCATGAATTATTTAGAGTAACATATTACCAGCATCTCTCTTAGAAGAGGAAGGCAGCGATACTCCCACCCGCTCATCTGCATCATTCATTCAATTAATGTATCTAATCATTGGCCTCTCCCTTTCGCGGGCTGGTTGTCATCGGGTCTTTAGTCCTCATGTCCGGATGGAAATTTTATAGAGTGTAAAACACTTACAAGTTAGCCTCATATTACATCAATCGTCTACGCCTTTGAATTTTGAAATAGTATTCTTTGTAGTGCAACAATGAAACTCTGATTTTTCCGGGTTCCTATCCTCGTCTATATGCATTCATTTCGCAAATATCTGCACCAAACTCATCGGATAATATTTTTTAATTTATCAATTATGATTCAATATTGAAGTTGTACACCCTTATGAACCTGATGAGTTTCATGTCCCTATGACCCACAAAACACCCCCTCCCCCTCCCCACATAAAAAATATACATAAAGCAAGCCAATTCTATATTCTATATAGTATACAAAATATAATATATGCTGCACTATATTGCTTCATTCTTCATGTTTGAGTTCATTCATACTTTCATATTTTATTTTTGCTTCCGAATGGATGCTTTGTAATCGTTGATTTTGAAGATCTAATTTTACCTGGAAATGACGTAGAATGTCATGAAATGTGAAGATATGATGTTTTAAAAAAATGTGTGTATGTATGTGCGGATGTGCGTACGAATTTTGCGCAAAATTTTTACAAATCTTTACAACAAAAAAACTAAAGTTTAAGCAAAAAATCTGAAATTTCGTCACTTAATTGGTATTACTTTGGAGCACTTCTGGTCGCAATTTCAGTTCAATTGGTTAAGTAGTTTTTGAAATACAACAATTTCTCAAAAATCTTTTTTCCCCAATATCTCGAGAACTACGTGACTGAATTGAATTTTTTTGGCGTCAAAATATTCCTTGTGATAATATTCACTGGGAACTAGGGACAGTCTGATAATAATCGGCATTTTTCTTTTTTATGAGGAAACTGTTCTGTGCACGATGACTCCCGAAAAAAGCTAGGATATTGAAGTATGGTGACATTGTAACACTTATGATATTATGGGATGGAATTGTAGGCGAAATCGGACGTAGGCGAATTTAGAAGATATTCAACTTTTCGTGAAAAAAAATGTGTTGTTCAATATTTTCAAAACTGGCGGTTCCATTAATTTTCTTTTTTTATCAAAATACTCGCCTTACCGCCCTCCATCAAGATCAATCAAAATATGAACCCGTTCATACAAAGTTTTCGAGATATTTGCGCTTTTCTAATTTTTTTATTTGAGAGTTACTAAGGCGTTCCACAATACGCGTAAAACTTGGAATAAATATCCGAAATTGTGGCTACTAATTAGTATTATTGAGTCATACTTGTGCATAAAATTTTGTGTCGATCGCTTCAACACATCCTGGCATAGAGCAATTCATTCAAAAATCTTTTTTTTCTAAAAAGTCACACATCGTCATTTTATCGATTATTTTCGCCACTGGGGGCTTATTCTCGTCGTGTTTAGTATTTCGATCCCTGATACTTTGCTACCATGTATCACTTTACAATGATGAACAGATACATACAAATAAGGAATATATTTCATATATTAGGACTCAATGATTTGGTTCCCGAATTTCAATATATGAAATTCTAACAAATTCTAACAAATAAAGAATATATGGAGTATTCCATGTGAAATCACTCAGGTCAAAACCCTCACCATCGTCAATCATATTGCTGATTTTTCCTGGTTGTACATGGACAAATATGACTTCTCAAATTTTTTCCGATTTTTTGAGGCATCCTGTGGGCAGCCATGTTTTTTTGCAAGTTTTATCTTCAAATGCCTGTAACTTCCGTAAAAAACAACCGATTTGAATTTTTTTTTACAAAATGTGCGCCTTCGAATACACTTTCCATATAAAAATATGCCAATTATTTTCAATTCATTCTTCCATCGATTTCCTCAGAAAAACCTCAAAAAACTTCAAAAAACAAGTCGTTTTCAAAGTTGGATCCTTTTTATATTTTTCAAAAAATTTCAGTGAATATATTGGACCAAAATAAAAGTTTTCACCTAAAACCAAAGTGGGGTCTCTATTAGAACACACCACTCGAAAAGATTTATTGTCAAGGAATTTTCAAAAAATCATCGAATTGTTCCAGATTCAAATATAATGCAGTGATTCTTCAGGCGGTAAATTCAAATAATGCTTCTACGTTCAAATGTGAAAAGAATTTTGAAATTTTTGAAATTTTTCATCCCGGATTCATATATTCAAATTTGAAATGACGGCCACGAAATGTGAAGTCCACTTTGGCCTTTGATGAAAAATGTTGTTTTGGTCCAATATATTCACTAAAATTTTTTGAAAAATATAAAAAGGGTCCAACTTTGAAAACGACTCGTTTTTTGAAGTTTTTTTGAGGTTTTTCTGAGGAAATCGATGGAAAAACAAATTGAAAAAAATTGGCATATTTTTATATGGAAAGTGTGTTCGAAGACGCACATTTTGAAAAAAAAAACTCAAATCGGTCGATTTTTACGGAAGTTACAGACATTTGAAGATAAAACTTGTAAAAAAACATGGCTGTCTACAGGATGCCTCAAAAAATCTGACAAAATTTAAGAAGTTATATTTTTCCATATACAACCACAGGAAAAATCGGCAATATGATTGGCGATGGTGAGGGTTTTGACCAGGGATGCGAAATTACGTCACGTTTTGAAATCTGTCACGTCACAAAAATGTGACGGTCATGTGATGTCACGTTTTTTCATGTCATAATTTGGGTCACACTGTCGACTCACATATGATAATCAACTAGTTAGATGTAATGTGACCGTCATAAATTTTTCTGTTACAAAATCTTGTCACAAATTTTCAAATAGCACCGGTTTGTCGGTGCAAGGGTTTACTTGCTAACGCGCCCATCGCTTGAAGGCCTTCAGGGAGAGAATGTTGAATGTGGAATAATGTAGCCGAAACCCCCAATTTCTGAACGACTGGGTCATATTTTTTTTTATTTATCTTTGATCAATATAAGAAAATAATGAGAGGTGAAATAATTAATACTATTTTCATTTTACTTGTGGGATATTCAATGCAAGTTGAAATCGTTCAGAAACTAACCCTCGTCCAGAAATTAACCTGTTTACCCTATCCGGATTCAAAATTGCGTGTAGGGTAAGCCACCCAGTAGATGGACACTGCCCTATAGATGGACGAACTACTTTTGGATAGGAAATTACGCAAAAAAATACTGAAATGTGAATTGTTGCTTTGAATTTTCACTAACTGTTGTGATTCTTAACCCCTGAGTGACGATTTTTTTTCGATCAATGTTTTTTTTCAATTGCTAAAAAACAAACGTCATCTACTGGGCGGTTTTCTTAGGCGTCCATCTACTGGACAGTTCACCCTAATTTTCAAATGAATATCATGTCAAAAATTGTGATGAAAAATTGGTGCGAAATCATTTATTTTATTCATTGATTTCAACTGTTCCCAGTGAGAAAAATCACACTTAGTTAATAAACTCGCCACTGATTTTTCTTTTTTAAATTGAAATATGACTGATACGCATGTTGACGCTTTGTGATTGTCCGTCCATGGAGGTAATCATCGCAAATTTTCGAATTTCGAACTAGTTGCCTCCACCTGGGATGCCACTACTTAGATGGGATGTGACGGTCACGGGGTAAAGCAGTCACGTTTGTGTCATGTGACAATAAATTGTCATAGTTGGCCGTGTCACATGACCGTCACTGACATGTCATATGACCGGTCAGTGACGTGTCATGTAATTTTTTCGCATCCCTGGTTTTGACCTGGGTGAGTTCACATGGAATACCCCATATGAAATATATTCTTCATTTGTATAATTTATCTAGAATAGTAGGCTAATTTCATACATTGAAATTCTGGAATCAAATCATTGAGTCCTATATACTTCAGGTTTAATTTTTAATCATCTTTGACTTCGAATCTGATTGTGAATGCAAAAATAACTAGTGAAGTAGATCGTTGGTCGCTCACTGGATACGCTCGCGAGATTTGTTCTGTTAGTGACAGAGGCTTGAAGTGAATGTTTATTGGAGCCGCACTCAGGGAGATTTGATCGTTTGAAACCCCGCTGTGATATTACGGGCAATTTGGAAAAACCAAAAATCATTGGAAAAAATTCGAAATTTTCAAAAAATCATAACTTTTTCAATTATCAATATTTTTTAATTTGTTGTTCCAAAATTTTTGTCAATAGCCATCTTTTTCGAAAAAAAATCCCCACTATTTACTTCTTTGGCCAGCTGATTTGACGTGGATCTGCTCACATATAAAAATGACTTTTCACGATTCTATCGAAAAAAACTGAAAAATTGCTCTATCGACTTCGACCAAAATCTAATCAGCCCTAAGTCACATGAAGACTCACCAATCGTGACATGGCGCGATTCTCGGTGAATGACTGTTTGCGAGAAATCGTGAACACACACACCCAAACCGACATATTTCTGGAAATGACTGAAGATGATTGTCGAAACCTTGAAACGTCATCATTTGATGAAAAATCGATTTCGGGGTGATTACAATAACTTGCCTTATCGGAGAGATAAAAAAATCTCCGACTTCTCACTTGATGAAAATGACCAAGCGATGTACTGGAAATTTGAGCTAAAAATTTTCAACACTTCATGTGCAACTCGAACTAAAATCAAGCCCTTATACGAGTGAAATGATAAAAAGAGATGTAGAGCTGAATGCTTGAACGCCTGATCTCATCTCTCAATAGTACCCCCCTCTGGAGAGTTCCAACGGACTCCGGAATTTTCCATGTAGTTTTAAAGCCCCATTCCCGTTGCAACTCGCTCAAAATTACGGTAGTGTCTACAACCACATACATAACTAATTCGATGTAATGGGTATTGCATGTGTTGTGAATAAATGAATGTGAATTGGCGCATGTGTTTTTCGATGGGGATTTGCCGAATTGAAAGAGGCGAGGAAGTAGAAGGAGACAGCGGACGCAGTTATAAAAATCGCTGCCGAAATTTCTAGGTCCATTAGTTGCTGGCCGGCTTTGCATCAGACGCATTCGACGCTTCAATCGAGTATTTCCTCGTCACTCCGGGAATCATGTCACTCAACGCTCCATATATTCAATTTTACAACGGAAATAAGATTCCCAGTTTTGGCCTGGGAACATGGAAGGTACGTTATTTTTGCATAACTTATGAACTTGGAATCCCGTTGTATGTGTGACGCGGGGGATTCCCTGCGGTCCGAAAATAATTTCTCATAATTTCTCTATTCCTAGAAAAATTCATGTGCAGCACTGGAAACATTAGACTGCATTTAATAATTTTTCTTGTGCTTCACGATTATTTTTCCAACGGTGCAAATTGTGCTGCACTGTTAAAATTTTTCGTCTGAATTTTCTGCGCCAAATTCCAGAAATTTTTATCGTGTTCAAGTTCCACTCAAATTTCAGGGAATTGAAAAACCAAATATTCCATTGAGTTTTTGTTCGAATCATTTGGAAATCAATAAAATACTCCATTTTTCGTGCAATTATTCTATGAAAATTCGGAAAATCAGGAAAATTTAGGAAAAAAATGAAAATTCATGTCATTTTATTTTTAAATATTCATGTTCTACTAAAAATTCAATCAAGTTGTAAAATTTCCATTTCGCTCCCACTGAAAACTCATGAATTTCCGTGAATTCTATTTAAAACTTGAAATTTCATAACCATTTTTTCCCTAAATTCGATTCAATGTCACTCTCATGAGGTTTACTATAATATTTTCCATGAAATTAAAAAAAATGTCTAACAGTGTACGTTCGTGGCGCTAGCATATGAATTTGTCTAGAAATTTTTTTTTCGTGTGGGCCTATTTAAATGGACAGTGGGTTTCCAATAGAATCTCTAAATCCATTGGAGAAAAAAAAAATTTGGAAGTTTTGTTTTTTCACATTTCATTTCCTTTTTAGAAAAATAAGATTTATGAAAAGTCTACTATCTCTCTCACCTTTGAGAGGGATTTTATTACTCTGTTCATCGGATGGGGAAAATTTCTTCTCATATCTTTAGACCTAGTTATTGAAAATTTACTACTGATTATCAATTCACTTCTCCCAGGATAGGTTATCGAATTTCTGCAACTAGTTATCAGAAGACCATAAAAATTTTATCCGTGTGCTGAATCACATACGTGAAATATTGAACAAAAAATGAACTATATTTTACAGTCTTTTGCGGGAAAGTCAATATCCATAATGCTTGAAGGGGGAGGATTGTTTGCACATATTTGTAGGGCGAGAGTTATGAGGAATGTTTGCAAAGTTATACAATCAAATTTGTTAATTCGTCATGCAGTAGGCGCGCTATAAGACTTGTTCTTACGAAAATTTTCACTCCATAGGAAACTTTTCAAATGCCTCAAGTAACTCTTCTAGTTGAGTCTGGTGGTGATAAAAGTCGTTTATCCGTCACACGGAAAGAAATCCGCGAGCGAAGTAAAATTCAATAAAAAGCGTGAATCGGAAATGAAAGTGTACGAATCGCCCCAGAAATTCTACGATTTGTTTCGTAAAAATTAACCACCCGTCTGATGACTCACCGCTGTCCGTGGCGATATTTGGCTTTATTCTTACGAGAATCCGATGAGAGATTCTCTCACCGTGCGCCTTAAGAATGCTGGTGGAACCGCGCCTACTGACGGGTTAAACTCCAGAAATTTCTCATTCACGAGATACAAAGAAAAATATGCAACGGAAATTAATGCGTAAAGTACGACCTAGACCCCATTTACTACAACGGATTAATGAAATTTGGATTGAGTAAATTATGTTGCAATAACATCTCGACTGCCTATTCGTGAAATTGGAATTTGATATTACTTCCTTTCCGAGTACTCAACCGTTTCGAAATGAGGGCCATAAAATTTGAGAGTATAGTTCATTAAACATTAAATTATTGAAGAGGTGGAAATATCAATTCAACCCCAGTATATAGGAAATAAATAAAAAGAACATGTAGTCTCGGAATACATGAAAAAAAAGTTCCAGTATAAGCTGATGCGTGCGAGTATCAATAAATATTGAAAATAAATAATAATTTGTAGATCATTAAACAAAAAAACTTTTTGGTATGAAATTCGAGACAATCCCAAACTGAATCAAGACGAGATTGAAAATTTTTGTGAAAACAGATAAGTTGTTTAGTTATGTAGGAGAGAATACTATCAACACATAGCGAAAGGGTTTTCAACTGCTTCTACATATCCCTAATTCGTAGTATGTCACTGCACTGTTAAAAATTTTCGTCTGTATTGTTCGCGTCAAATTCCGGAAATTTGTATGTTTAATTTCCACTGAAATTTCAGGAAACTTTGTCATTGACAAATCAAATATTCCATGGATTTTCTGTTTGAATTATCTGAAATCAATAAAATGCTTGATTTTTCCGTTCAATTATTCCGGGAAAATTCGGAAAAATCCGGAAAATTCAGGCAAAAATCGAAAATGCCTGTCATTTTGTTTCTGAATATTCAGGTTCCATTGAAAAATCAGTTACGTTGTGAAATTTCTGCTTCAATACCCTGAAAACTCGTGCATTTTCTTGGATGCTACCTACACGGAGAGCAAAGTCCTATTCTAGAAAGAACATACACTTAAAGTCGATAATTATCGATATCTCGCAAGTCTGTCACGCTTATTCCTCATTGGTTCCAGTCGTCTGAGGCGGCAAATTCAATTCATGATTAATTTCATTTTGAGATTTTCAAGTATGATTGTTACAATTACAGCGCGCTGCAGCGCGCGTTCGGTCTCCTGAGGGAAATACCTGATTAATTTTGAAGCTCGAGTGGTATTCGGAAGAGAATTTTTTCATCCAAATTTCGGCCAAGAGAATTGCACCATGGAGACGAAATCAATCTGTTAGTTTCGCCAAACAGTTCATTCAATTGAATCATCTTTTGATTTTTTATATAGCAACTACCAGAGAAAATTATCAGTTGAAAACCCTACAGGTTGTACCACGTGACGTCGAATAGTGGCATTCTGTTGGCTGAAATTTGGATGGGAAAAATTTTCACTGATATTTCAATGACATCTAGAAATTTTCAAATACATTGCAGAAATTGAATACCATATACAACTGAATGTTCAATAGATTGAAAATTCAGGGAAATTGTTGCTTAAATTTTCAAATTATTTAACAGTTTTCAATATCATGTGGACCTAAAAATCAGAATTCCATTAAAGGCCCCAGAATTCAACTGATTTCTCAATAACAAAATACATGAAAATTTTGTATCAATGAGTTCTTGTTAAAAATTTCAAAAATTTTCATTTGAAATTTCAGGAATAATTGTCTAACAGTGTACACGATAATTTTTCACATGCTTATCTATACTAATTCTACAATAATAACGACACACTTATGAATTATACGCAGGTTTAAATTAGACATAAGTATTAACGTGAAAATAAACAGCACGTGTGCAAGATGTTTTCACACACATGTAAGTCGGTGTCAAACAATCTTTGATCGTAGTAGGAATTGGTAGGTAATCGGATTATCGCGAAATATGCGATAATATTGAAGGTCTTGTGGTATTCTTGTAGATAATGAATGATTCTACAGGAAACTTAGAAGAACTTCCTCGCAGAGTATTTTAGTAATTAAAAAAGAGAGTTTTGTGATACTTTCTTCAAGACTTTTTCCATTTTTTCAGCCAAATATACCACCATCACTGAAGATTTCAGAAAAATCACTGTCGATCGCTCGCTTTGCTAGGGGTTGTTGGAATTGGGTGTGACACGTTATGGGTCGAACCAGCAACTTCCCGACCGATGTTCTTTTTTCTGTTGATTCGGAAAGAAGCAAATTTTGAAAGTTTCATCCAAATAACTGAACAACCGCTGAGGCGATTCCGATCATCAACATCCAGTTAGAATTGAATCATATGAAGACGCATCGATTATATAAAATTAATTCATATCTCATTGTTATTTCAGGTAGAATCGACGAATTTAAAAAAAAGTCAGTTTTTAAGATTTTTTTTACAAGTTCTATGTGAGTAATTACGAAGACTGCCTCCCTTTGGATTGGGAAGTTAATCACACGTACGAAAGAATTGAAGAGGCAATCTTGCGCCTCACGTAGGGATATTTATTTAGAATTGTTATTTAATCATAGCAATTCTATGATTTTTCCTCGTATTTCTATTGAAAATTCCACAGCTTTATCGCATGTATTTCCAAATCAATAAATTTAATAAGAAAATATTCAGTGGACAAAAGTCACTAGGTCTCGGTTTTGCCACCAAGTTCCTTTTATCAAGACTTTTTCAAACTGCGACAGAATAATTTATAGAAAATAAAAAATGAATATCTTTACTGAAAACAACGTATCGAAAAGCTGCTCAATTCTGCAAATGAATCGGCAAAAATCTGCTAAAATTACCTATCGAATACTCTAAAATTTAAATAAATTTGTTTTAAGGATTTCCAAGCATCTTTAACAGTTTGGTATAGACCACACTATAGATTTAACCATTTTTAATCATCAAATTTGTCAATTAAATTGTGGGAGAAAAATTAAAAAAAAAATCATTAATATTCAGCGCCATTCAAATGATATTTTGCACAGAATTATGATTTTTAAAAAGATTCGTTGTTTATAAATAGGGGAGACTCGACTAAAATGGAATGTATTGAGATCTTTTACAATTGTCAATATCTTCATTTGTAAGTGAAGATATTGACGACTAGAGAAGAACACGGAACGTCCCATTTTGCCCGATTCTCCCCTAAATAATCGAAATTGTTTGAACTTTCGGAAAACTCATTTTTTTAGGCATGCTCGATTTCTGGTAAAATTTTGAATATGAATAAATTTTCTTACGGTTTCGAACAAATGATTTTCGTAGTGGAAAATTTACTGCTTATAAATTATTCATCGAAAATGTTCGTAATTTTCAAAAATTGCAATTTTTAAATTATTTCATCAATCTTTCTCCAAAAGTAAACTTTCTAATTTTTTGCAGATTTTTCAAATGTTTTTAACGGTTTAACATTGAGATTCAAATTCAGACGTACAAAGTTTAAACAATAAAATCTATCGAAACGTAGAAAACCATTTCGCTAGAGAAAACATAGCCCAAGTACTTGGATATCCTTAACCGTATATCAGTCTTTGTTGTAAAATTTATCTACATCTTTAAAATGAAATTATATTTTGGTTGTTTTGTATACAAAATCTTGTGTTTTCATTGTGTGAGAGTGGAGGAGAAATCAAGCCAGAGATGGAGTATCGGCCTCCCTCCCCCTTCTAATACGCAGAGTCAACTAAAAATTCATCGACTAGCGCCCATTTCAGTGAAATGTAGTTTGGAAATATTTTTTCATTTTTTAGTCGAAAATCCTTAAAACGTCACAACTCGATGAAATCGATACTTCGTAGCTGAATGTTGATATAAATTTTGCCTTGTTATTACAGTCAAAACCAGGCGAGGTGACTCAAGCTGTTAAGGATGCTATCGATGTGGGCTACAGACACATTGATTGTGCTCATGTTTACGGAAATGAGAAGGAAGTGGGCGCTGCGTTGCAAGCGAAAATTGATGAAGGAGTTGTTAAACGTGAAGATCTATTCATTACCAGTAAATTATGGAACACTTATCACACAACTGATCTCGTTGAGCATGCCATTAAGCAAACACTGAAGAACCTCCAACTCGATTATTTGGATCTCTATCTGATCCATTGGCCAATGGCTTACAAGGAGGGTGATGAACTGTTCCCAAATAATGCCGATGGCACTCCTATTTTAAGCAATACCGATTATCTCGATACGTGGAAGGGTATGGAGGATGTTCTCACCAAGGGCTTAACGATGAATATTGGAGTTAGCAATTTCAATTCTGAGCAAATCGAAAGACTGTTGAAGAATTGCAAAGTGAAACCGGTGACAAATCAGGTGAATATTGTTCAAAGTTTAAAGTAGTATAAGTAGTAGTATAATTTAATTCACGAAGCAAAAAACAATTGTTCATCATTGATAATTTTTTCCATGAATTCAAATCAAATCCTTTTTTAAATTATTTTTTAAACAATAGTCGATGGTTTGACCACATTGATTCGTCATAACACCCCATTTCGGGCACGTATAGATGTAATTATCTATTACAAAAGTTTGACACTATTTATAAATTTATCATGAAAATAAAAGTAGATTTCTTCAAAATTTTAAAATCTCTCAAATCTCCCTCTCTCCCATTCACTTCCAAGTTCAACAGACGAAAACAGCCTTTTAGCTGCGTCAACAGGTTGTAAATGCATTGAAATACCCGTGAGAAAACTCAAATGGCACGCATTTAAGAAAAATCACGTACGGGAGGAATTTAGGACAACGGTCCCTTTTTTGTTCAAATCCTTCAGTATGAAATTTCCCAAATTTTTTGTGCCCTTTTGCCCGGTTGCTACTTCTCGAACAGCTCCGGTGTTCAACATATGGATGACATTCACGGCATACCGAGAGTGCATGCTTCCTATTGGTAGAGGAGAGTCGGGCAAAATGGGACGTTCCGCAATCTTCTCTAATTGTCAATATTTCCACTTATAAATGAAGATATTGACAATTGCAAAAGTTCTCAATACGTCCCATTTTGCCCAACCCTCCCCTATGCTTTCCCTTTTTTTACGTACATACTTTGCCCTATCCCTTTCCTTGGCCAATAACATTTGAGGAAATACTCAACGGCTTTTGAAACCAATGAAATTTTGGTAATCCCTTCCCACCCTCGTTGGTCAGGGGTAAATCACTTATTCCGAAAAACGTAAACTTCAGTCTACTCCGAACAATTCATGGATTCACATCAAACCTTTAAAACAACCTAGCCAAGTCTTGCATTCGACAGTTTGATTCAAGTCATTATTAGAATACTCAATATAAGTTTTCAAGTACTTTTAATGCTAATATAAGTTAACGTGTATTAAGTCAATTTTTATTGCAATTAGGCCCGGTTGCACCGAGCCCTGTTAGCTATTTAAACCCCAGGATGAATTTATCCATGTGTAATCCTTATGGACTAACCGACCGTTATCTGGTGGTTTAGTTAACAGACGATGGTGCAACCGGGCCTTATAGTGATAGTTCAAGTGACTCAAGGCATTCATATTCATTTATAAATATTATAAGCATTCAAAATCCTATTCACAAAATACATAACACACCAAGTGAAAATACCGTAGTTTGGTGTCTCAGTTTTATCCCATAGTTTAGTAAAAATTATCGTAGAGACAAGTAACGTTCAACGAGAGGCGAACTGTGCCTTTTTTCCTTCACAAGGTAACAAAAAAAATTTTCGCTTACGAGTAAACGAAAAGGCTCTTTATGACACGAGGTCCGATAAACCACGGATGTAACCTCGCTTCGCTCGGTTAGGCCCGGTGACATAAAATATTGTATATCAGACGACTATAAAAGTATTATCTCAGTCATGTGATTATAATGCTCGCCTTCGGCTCGGCTTATAAAGTCACACTGGTCAGATAATGCTTATATCGCCTGATGACATAACGTACTATTTCGGGACGAGGTGAACGTAGCGGCAGTGACAAAAATAAATGCTTTTTCATCACGCTGTGACGAAAAGTTCTATATTACGAAATATACTATATTACGAGCCATTTGAATAATAAACCCCTTCATTTGGTTCAAATAAAGTTCATCTAGACATGAGTAAACTTAACCCTAGTTTGGTCACCATAGGAGGGAAATGCCGCAGAAAGTCGATTTTTTTTCTCACCATTGATTGGCTGAGCGGAAAAATCCTAAAAAATTGGAATGCGTCAATTCAAGTGTCTAGAAAATTATAATATTTTTAAAAATTATTTATATCCACAATTCTTGAAGAAAAAAAATTATTTCTAACAGACGGGCAATTTTTTCACATGTTAAATGAAATTGCCCGTTGTGCGACGTTGCCGAAGTCTCGCTAAACGCGACCGGACAGTATAGAGCGAATTCGGCAACGCTCGGGCCTAAATAACACGGCGGCGATTCCCTGCGGAGGTGACCAAGTCGCAAGTTCTCATATGGTGACCAACTAGGGTTAATCTTCCAGCGATGAAAAAATCTGGTATCAGCGCAGTAAAAATTAATTTCCAATTAGACGAAAACTTACGTATATAAAACACCAAGAAAAAATTATTCCGAACAAGTTTTGTTTGGATTGAAAAAATCGCATGTTGAAAATTACCAGGAATAACAAATTTCATGCAGAACATTTGGAGTGTTCTGATTTTCGATTTTTCCATGCCTAAATTTCAAGTTTAAATATCGTTGCTGTTTGGATAGTGGAAGACATTTCAATTTTTTTTCAGATTGAATGTCATCCCTACTTGACACAAAGACCCCTCACTGAATTCTGTAAGTCGAGGGACATTGTTATCACCGCTTACAGTCCCTTGGGATCTCCTGATAGACCGTGGGCTAAGCCAGACGATCCCAAACTACTTGAAGATAAAAAACTGTTGGATCTCGAGGAAAAATATAATAAAACTGGTGCCCAGATTCTCATTCGATATCAAGTGAGTGGAATCCCCTCCACGATAAAATTTATATTTTGAAAAATATATTTAAAAAATATCTTAAATAGGCCCAATTTATACAAAAAATAAATATAAAATATATGGTTTAGGCCCGGTTGCACCAAGTACTGTTATCCAAATAAACCCCAGAGTAAAATTTATCCTCGGGGTCAATTATATCGTAGGGGTCATAATTTTTCATATTTGAGCCGAACAATCATTTTTTATTTATCCTGTAGCCCCATTTGAATTAACACTGATTTAACCTTGGGCTTAAATTTTATTTTTTGTTGCTGGGATAAATTTGAGATACTCTCCCGGGTAAAATAATCCATTAAACATCCAAATTTACTTTTTTTCTTATTTGACGTTTTCGTTACCCGGAGCTGGTACAACCGGGCCATATATGTATATTTTTTTATAAATTCTTTATAAATTTGACAAATATATAGCATTGGCCCATATTATATATTTTTTATTATATATCTTTTGATGGGGGTCATCAGTGCTTTTTTTATCATTAGAAATGCGTTGATTCATTGATATCATATCTATTTATTTGTCTTTAGTTGGATCGTGGACACGTCGTGATACCAAAATCCGTTACAAAATCTCGCATCATACAGAACAGTCAGGTCTTTGATTTCAAACTTGATAAGGATGATATCGAGTATATCGACCGTTTTAATGTTGGTGGTCGCATATGTCCTATGAATGGGTGAGCATTGCAACTGAATACGTCTGAGACAGTAGTGAAGTGGTAATACGTAACAAATCGATTCTTCAAATATTTTTTTGGTTTAGCCATATTTCATCATCGATACAAACACGGAAATACCTAAACGTAAATCATGTTTTATTAAGTGTAATGTACAGTTTACTACACGTAATTTACGCTTAACGCCAATGTGATGTCTGGTGGCTTTTTTTCTCTCATGAAAATTGGAATTTAGACTTAATAATAATTTATTGCATCTGTGCTATTACACTTATACAAGGGGTGAGCGTATGGGCCTAGTACATCAGTTTCCAGCCCTTCATAAATAATTCATAGAAATAATCATATAGATTTCAAATATTTTGTAATTAACTACCATTTTGAAAGCTTACGTAGAGAAAAGATAGAATATAACGAGAAATTCATAGATTAAAAAATTGTGTCACAACATGGAGTTTCGTTAGAAAAGTTGGAAATGTGTGGAAGTTGAATTTAAAATTTCAGTATTTTTCCAATTCTATAGCCTTAAAAATATAGTTAAATAATTTGAATGCACATTGTTGTGAAGTGATCGTTAGAATTTCCACAGAATGTTGGTGTCTACTCAGATGTTTCTCTCTCAATGATTTAAAAAAACATATTTCACGGTCATAATAACAACGTAAATTACGCCCAAACGAAGCGTCTTTTACGTTTCACTAAGCGTATTTCAATCTTAAGAAATCGTAAAATATGATCTTAAGCTTCGATCACTCGCTCAATGAGCGTGGCGCTGCCTGTGCCCTTTAAAAAAAAATATTTTTGCGTGTTCCTGGAAGCTTAAAAATTCGGAAAAAATCAGAGTTCCTAGTTCAATCCTTTCATTGAGTGTTGGCGTTGTCTGTTTTCTCTCGGAAAATTTGTTTATTTAAAAAAAACAAAGAAACAACGAATGAACAGAAATGCGGCGCTACGCCGTCCGGTGACTTCCTGTCGACCGCTCAAGCAACAGTGTTGCTACATTAACTGTCGCTCGCTTCACGTTGTGTGCTGTGTGTAAGTCAACGTGCTAACAGCGCGCTCGGTTTGACCCAGCAGCGTTGCGCTAACCGGGCGGCGGATGAAGGCTTCCGGCCGAGCGCGAGCGATCGAGGGTTAATAGAAACGCATTTTCTGATTTACTTATGCGTAATTGACGAAAAAAACATCGTGTTTTGCATTCACAATGACTTTTTTTTCTGCGTCGTTAATTATAGACAAGTAAACGTAAAATGCGGAAAAAATTATCGTAATTTACGAATACGAAATCGCAAATTACGTTTAAATATTGGTAATTTACGGCAATTTGGAGCGTAATTTACGGCGATTTTGAACATAATTTCCGCAGCAACTTCAAGTGTAAAATACGCTTGAAAACGCGGAAAAGACGACTACTTAAACGTCATTTACGTTTAGTTTCAACAATTTTTATAAAGCTGGTGAGTTATTTCTACATTCCGTTCCGTAAAATTTCTCAAACGTTGAGGAAAAATGACGGAACGACTTGGTGCCCCCATATCAGTGGTGTCATCAGATGGGTGGTTAATTTTTACCGAACAAATCGTAGAATTTACTTGGTAATGCGTACAATTTCAATTCCAACTCACACTTTTTATTGAATTTTACTTCTCTCGCGGATTACATTTCGAAACGTAATTTTTACGTTTTTTTCTGGTAATTTTTATTGAAATTTATCTCTCCCTGTGGATTTGCTAGAAGTGGAAAATTCATACAGAATTTATTGACTTCATAGTTACCCAAGGAGTAACGTTTGCCTCCTTTCACCACTTCTCCGTTAATAGAATTTGTTATCTATGAAATTTCCATCCGATTTTAATCAAATTTGTTATTCAATTGCAGGTGCGAGCCAAGTCCACATTATCCATTCCATATTCCATTCTGAAGTGGAAGCATCATCAATTGCTTTTATTGCCAGCTAGTGATGATACATTTCTTTTATATAATTCAATGACATACATAGTTATGATTTCCTTCTTTTCATAAATATTTTAGTTGAATATTCTTGTTTGAACCGAAATATTATAACTTTTCCAAATAAGTTTCATAGTCTTTGGGTTCAATACCAGCCACATCCCCTTCGTAAATACCATAATTTTGAAATATTAAAATGTAACATTGCGTCATGAGCGAAGCTGTCGGAAGAGAGGACCTGTACACCTACATAAGAAATTAAAGCCATGGAAAACTCCTTTCAGCATATTTGTCAACTCACAAATAAAGCACATTTTACACAACATTTTGTATTTTTAAAGTACTAAAAATATAACTCAAATTCTTAAGGCAGCTTAAGGGTGCCCGACGGCTTGGCGCAGTGGGTAACGTCGTTGCCTCACATGCGCAAAATTCCGAGTTCAAATCCCGGTCGGATAGAATGGTGAGATCTAACCATTTAGTCTTGATTATCATCGCCATATACTCAATCGAGTCGAAGCGATGTAAAATAACGATAAGAAAAAGGCAGCTCAAGGGGGAAACGGAACCCCTGTGTTTATATGAACTTTTAGACTTGTTTTCTCGAGCAATTATTTTTTATTTATGAAACTACTTCATTGACTCAACAATGCAATGATCCAGCCGATAAAGTAGTTTCATAGATAAAAGTTAAGAATTCTTAGAAAAAAAACAGTTCTAAAAGTTCATATAGACACAGGGGTTCCGTTTCCCCTTAAGGTATATCTCAAGATAATCGGACTCAAAAGTTAGTCTCTATGGATTTCCGGAAAAAATTCTAAATAACTTAATTTATTGCATTCTCACACTGAGAAAAAAAATTTTTAATATCTGAAACATATTTTCTTGAGAGAAGTAAATTATTTTCAATGGCTTAAATCTCAGAATGTGTGCACTTCACGGAACTCGAATAAATTTTCATTCATTACTATCGTTCCGCGTTACGTCATGAATATTTTACATATTGCAATATTGGAAGTGCATAACGAAACAATCATGAAAACAATAAAGAATAGAAGATTGACGATTCTTCTACGCCATTTAAGTAAGTTCATTTGTGACAAATTCATACTTGAATACAAGAATATTTTAAAGCATGAAGCCTTTCTCGGGTCATGTGAGTTGAGATGCCTGAGAGAATTAAGCAATTGAAGAAAATTTACTTGTCTCAAGAAAATATATTTCAGATATTAGAAAATTTTTTTCTCAGTGCATAAGTTATTGAGTTTTTCTCTTCTCATGTGTTGGCGATGCAGGCAACAGTAACTTTTTGAATCAATACAGTAGATTCTCCCTAACTTCACCACGTCGGGGCTACAAATTCCACGAAATGAGCGGTTGCGGACATCCACACTCTGACGTTAGAAGGGCGTGGCCAAGTAGAGTGAGAGTGAGAGGTTACGGGACGTACGGAGTACGAAAAACGTACGGGAGCAGAGACTGTTTACTGCGCATTCACCAAGCGTGGAGGGATACACGCATATTACTCACACACATTTGGGGTGCTCAGAGTAAGGGAACACTCTCCCCACGGTTGTTGATCGCTGGGAGGTTAGAGAGTAGAGAAGTTAGAGAGAATCTATTGTAACAAACTCTTTGTTAATTAATTTTTTGAATCAAATTAGGAATGCTTTCACGAAATTTTCATTTTTTAGAGTTGAATAGCGTAGAAGCTATGCAGTACATAATTTTACAAAAAATTTACCGTATTTGGAATTTATCAATCTATCACGAATTAGTTTTTTAAAGATATCGTAAGAACCGTTTTCTCATAAGATTGAAAAATCGAGTTCGGGCGGGCCCATAACCCCCGTTTAGCCTACACCTCGCGTGTTAGGAGCCCGCATTTCTTTATTTATTATCTCCTAAACTGTGTGGTACAGCTACTAAGAATTTGTTTCAATAGCTGGAAATTATTACAAACATTATCTATGAAAAATATGGAAACAATCTTGAGAAAAACGGGTTTTGCAGGGATATACCTTAATGGTTTACAATAATAATGAAAGTATGAAGTTGATGGATTCATTTTTCATATTAATCAAATTTGAAATGCATATAAAAATTATCAATAATGAATAATCTTTTTTTTTTATTCATGCTACTTTAAGATGTCAGAGAATTATATTTCCCTCATTTTTCATCCTCCTATAAAATTGTAATCCATGTTTATGTTCTGTGGTTTATCGATCGATGCAACGATAAGATATGGAGTTCAAAATGCCATTGGACAGATAATGATTTTTTTAACAGCACTCTATATGTACTTGCAACTTGGTCATTGCAACATTAGTTTATCTGAAAATTAACACCTGTCGTGTTTACTTCATTCGTATCCTTCTTATCCTGAACATAGATGAGCACAATGTCGTCTCGAGTTGTGTTCAATAATGGTAATTCCGTGCCAGTTCTCGGACTGGGGACATGGAAGGTAAGAACGAAAATAAAACAATAAATTAAGTCCTAGAATTAATTTCATTCGAAAGTCAATAATCTTCCCACATCCTTCCAAATATTAGCATTGTATTCCCTCTTAATTCGCCTCGAAGAGGTAATACATAACATAATACAATAAAAAAATCAACAAAATACATTTTGCGTTTACCATAATCAAGTTGATTGATATTAATAAGACTTCACAAAACCCAAGCGCTTTTTCTGTGTCCCTAAAGATATCAATTTTCAATTATTGGAAGAAATTATTACATTACTAAATCGAAAGATTTCTCATCGGCAGTTCTGATTGAAAATGTAATGCAAATCTATGAATCGGATTTCCTTAAAAAATTGGGTACCATCACGAGCAACAGATATTTTGTTTTTCTGCATCTATCTAAGAATTATATTATAATCCCACGAGGAAGCTCACAGGCAGAAAAACATTTTCATTTCCAAGAAGAATCATTCAACTAAAAAATCATGTGGTGATTAAATTTAACAAGCAAAAGATTCTGCACACATGATATGCAATTTTTTCGCTTGTTCTAGAAACACTTAGAAAAAAAAAATGAAATTTTAGATTTCATTAAAAATTCAGGAAAATTTCAGAATGTTAAGCAGCGTAAAGACGAGAATTCTTTAATTTATTTGAATTTCCAATCTAATATGGCAGTTGAAATCGACAAAAACTTCCAAAAAGTGTACCGGAAATTTCACACAAAAATTTTCAATCGGAAAAACTGCCTTCAAAATTAAACGAAAAATTCGATTTTTCAGCAGCTTGTCGGTTAATTTTAGATACAATTAAAATGACACAATCTTTGATTATTGCGAGTATCCTAGTTTTTGATCTTAGTATATTTTTTATTTCCAAAGTGCTAAATCTACTACTACGATAATTAATTCACCTGCAACCGGTTTCCGGCAACCGCGCCGTTGTGAATGGTTGAATTGATCTATGATTTAAATAGGTCTGTATAAATAGATAGACAATCTTCGCATTTAGCTGATTATTACCCTCACTTGGAGAAATATCGACATTATATTACAAAACTAATTTCTGACGTCAAATGTCTCATCTCTTGAGGATAAAACGATCGGGATAAGAATTCCGTATAACAAGTCAGACCGTGTAAGAATCCTGTGAAATATTCATGGCTCGAACACGAACACTCGGCGATAGAGTGAGAATATCTTCCCTCAAGAAATCGTGTATTTCGTGCCAAAAGGTGAGGACATTACTAAAAATATTGAAAAATTCGATTCAATGAATCATGGACTCAAGAATCATGAATCAGAGACTTTCATATTGAACGAATATAGAATTTGTACAAGGGAGAACCTTCAAATATTTCCGCAAAGAGTTTGAAGAAAATCAATAACGTCTGTTTCTTCTCTCAAACTTACTTTGTCTCTTCAGGAATATTATCTATAATTAGTGATGCCGCGAGAGACTTTAGGAGACATCACGAGAATACTTTGGAGATGGTCCCGGTGCCAATGAACATGGAAATCTTTGGTCCTGTCTCAGTCTCGAAATATGCACTATCGACTCCTCTCGTGATGACTCCACATCAATTTATCTCATCTCCGTCTCATGTTTTTCGTATTGTTACTGTAAAATATCGGTTTTTGTCTCGCTTTGCCTCGTTTCGATTTTCTACATATAAAAAAATGCGAACAACTGGACCCCGAGGTGAGGTAAATTGACTCGGAATCATCACGAGAGAAGTCGATACTGCGTATTTCGAGACTGAGACGAGACCAAAAATTTCTGCATTCACTGAAACCGAGACAATCCCTCCAAAGTATTGTCTCGTGATGTCTCGTATAGTCTCTCGCGGCATTAATATATCTAATTTCCAGAAAAAATTGTAATTTTTTCAGTCAGTATCATCCTCTTTTTGCCCGAAGAGCACCTATTTCTTGTCTGAACTCTACCATGAATTGATCGAATATGCATGCAATGTTCTCCACTCAAGAAATTAATTTTGTCATATTATGATGCAAGTTGTATGGATGGGATACTTGGTCGTATAACTTTCTGGATTGTTTGAACTCAGTGATGCTTTCCGTCATGACAGCTTTGTCACATTTTATCGATTAATGATTTCATTTTTATATTGTATGTAGACTAGTTTAATCCTATAATTGGCCTTGTGCTGTTGGGTCTTTATGAAATAAAATGAAAAAATGAAAAATGAAATTATGTTGATTTTTCTCACAGTGCAGGGTGGTTCATAAAATGTGACGGAAGTGAATTGTGTTTCTTATGTGAAAGTGTTTTTTTAGGTCATGGTTTAATAGTTTGTTGGAGTATAGACTTTATGGAAAATTTTATCCATGCTCTAGTGTCCTACGAATCGAGATTTTGAAATAAATTATCCGATTACTGAAATAGGAGCTTTTACTTTAACTCCCGGCTTTGAACTTGGGCTGCCAGTAAAGTGGGTGAGTTCTAAAATGGATTGCAATTTAATTTACCGAGTTTCTGTCGTACAATGACAAGATGACAATTATATAGGTACAGTGATATGATTTGAAGTGACTCAAAATTTACTTTGCCCATACGTTGTGGGGACACCATATCGCATACTTTTATTTCAGAAAGATTATCGTTAAAATTACACGTATCGACAACTTTCGACAGGAAATTTGTTCAAAAATTTGGAAAATTGGCGGCATTCTGTTACCCCTTAACACGGGAAAACATTATTCGTCTGTTCGAAATCATTTGTTTTCTTGAAAAATCCTGAATATAAACGACTTTACAAATTAATATAATTTTCTAGATACTTGAATTGACGAATTCAAATTTTTTCGGATTTTTCCATTCAGCCAGTCAACGGTAAGAAAACAAAAACGACATTCTGCGGCGACTAGGATTAATGATACCCATCTCTGTCATTTAATTTCTCTGTCCATTTCGAAACCACAAGTTTTCATAACATTTTTCTCAAATTTAATATTTTATTCTTCAATTTTAACATTTATTTTGTCTTCTTAACAGTTCTATTTCTCATCTACGGAAAAAATGATGTCAGGAGGCCTGACTTCCCAAAACAGTGGGTTTGGCTCGTATTAAGGTGTTTCGCTTGAAAAACCAAAATAATGAAAAAAAATTGGAAAATTCATGGGAGTAATTTCCAAGTATGCTGCATCATTGAGAATTCTTGCACATTTTCTTCAGATCTCAGTTTCAAGAAAAAAAATAATGCAATTGGGATGTTTTTGTAACCCCTCTAGCTATAACCTGTGAGGTTACCCGACTCTCAATTAGGAAAATTTCCATGACACCCAAAAAAATAAACTATTGAGGAAAAACTAGTGGGTGATAAATCAAATCTTTCCTGAGAACACGTATACGTTTTAGATTTTTTTCAGTATTCATAAGAAAGTTATTTGAACAAATGATTCGAAAAATTATGAGCTTTGGGGCAATTACGCCCTCACGCGTAGGTGCGTGATTCAAATGTCAGTGAGCATCATGGAAAAGGTATGGGTTGGACCATGGAACTGAGAGAAAGAAAACACTCGATAGGTTTACCAACTCGAGACGCATTTTAATATTATTTCAATAATTAGAATAACATCCAATAAAAATTATTTGAAACTCGTAGGTAATGAGAAAAAAATTAGTCAATCTGATAAATAAAATCAATATTCAAAAAATGTTCAAATGCACACTGAAATAGTTAGTTGAAAATTGGAAAATTTCGTACTCAGCGATTGAATCAGGGCTTGAGAACAATAAGACTCCCTTTCCGTTTCACCCGCCGGTGATGTGCAGAAGAGAACACCTTAATTTTAAAAAAACCATCAACATTGTCTATGTATTAAATTCTTTCCTTATGTTTCTTACGTGTAATATCGATTATAATTTAAAGGTGTGTCGTGTTATTTCTAATGCAAAATAGCTATTTTACTCGAACGTGATGCACCAAATAACGGTCGAGTGAAAAGTTGCTAGCAGGTGGCTCGTGACTTTTCACTCAACCGTAACCTGGTGTATTACGTCCTCGTGACGAAAGTTATTTTTCGTCACTCTGGACGTAGGCCCCGATTTACGAATTCGATATACGGCCTAAAAAAACTTTTCCAACTCATATGATCGCAACTCTCGCCTTCGGCTCGGGCTGCAAACTCATATCCGCCAGAAAATTTTTTTTCGGCCTATTGACGCAATATACTATTTCTTCACACTCTGATGAAAACTGCCATTTTACAGTCCGTTATTTGGGATGTAAAATCGTGTTTTCTGTACTGCTTCTCACGATTTCTCGTCTGGGAATTGGTATTGCATACTTCCCAAACTCGAAAACTTGAAAATCACTACAAAAAAATCTTGTCCCGGGCTGCTGCGATGGGGTTTTTTACTCGTGTGGTTGGCCAGTCCTCGCCTTTGGTTAGGACGCCAACGCCACACGAGTAAAAAACCTCATCGCAGCAGCCCGGAAACTAGTATATTTCGTCACTAGGCCGAAAAAAACTTTTCTGGCGAATATGNAAGAAAACACTCGATAGGTTTACCAACTCGAGACGCATTTTAATATTATTTCAATAATTAGAATAACATCCAATAAAAATTATTTGAAACTCGTAGGTAATGAGAAAAAAATTAGTCAATCTGATAAATAAAATCAATATTCAAAAAATGTTCAAATGCACACTGAAATAGTTAGTTGAAAATTGGAAAATTTCGTACTCAGCGATTGAATCAGGGCTTGAGAACAATAAGACTCCCTTTCCGTTTCACCCGCCGGTGATGTGCAGAAGAGAACACCTTAATTTTAAAAAAACCATCAACATTGTCTATGTATTAAATTCTTTCCTTATGTTTCTTACGTGTAATATCGATTATAATTTAAAGGTGTGTCGTGTTATTTCTAATGCAAAATAGCTATTTTACTCGAACGTGATGCACCAAATAACGGTCGAGTGAAAAGTTGCTAGCAGGTGGCTCGTGACTTTTCACTCAACCGTAACCTGGTG